TTTGGAACAGCTGGTTGAAACAATGAAGTCAGTCACGGTCTGTTGAATTGGGGGTGCAGTAGTAATAGGTACTTTCAAGTTTTCAATTTTTGTTAAGAACTCTTCAACCTGAAGCCGAAATTGGGGGTGCGGTTACTATTACGAATGCGGTTTATATTAGGACTTTAACGGTACATGTGGACCTCTCTCAGATTTGTTCATTTCATGATGATATCTTCAATTATCTAATTCTGATGAATATTTTTGGTAAAATGTTATAGTTTTTCGAATTTTTGTTGAGAACAGTAAGTCTGATTGCTTTGATACAATGTACTATACATATTGTTCATTTTCTAATGATATCTTCAGTTCTTTAATTGAAATGTGCATTGCTAACAGCGGAGCTATCTCACCCGACAGGCTGCTTGTTTTCTTTTTTTTTCTTTCTTTTTTTTAGTGAAATCTTCTGAGTGATTGTTTGTAGGTAGATGAAAGTCGGTGTCTTCAATATTAATTTCTTGATGTTACATTTCAGATATTTGTTCGGAAGATCCAGTTATTTGCGATGCGCTTCTCGGCGCAAAATGGTGCAGCCGAAGGTGGACTGGAGGCGCCGCCATTGTCCCCTCTCCCGTTGGTCAAAAGTCATCCAGTATCACCAAGAAGAGTGTCCAGCCAACATCAAGTCTATATATCACCACGTAAAAATAGTACACCCTTGAGTCCTTCCAGTCGAATGATGTACTGCTTTAACAGGAGTCCTTCTAAGGTAAGAATCAATTTTACTTGCAATGGTGTCGGCACATTGTTTAAAAAACAAAAACGTGAGATAATTCGCACTACGAGCTGTGCCAATGAATCTTTGATGTAAACATTTGCCGAGATCTTGTTGATAACGTGAGATGCAATAGACGAGGATAGATGAGGCAAAAACAAATCATATAGTTCTTTTGCTATCAAAAAGATTTCGGCAATTTGGCGAGCAGGTCGTAGTGACATAGTAAATATTTGTCTTTGTGTACAAAATTATGAAATCGTCAGTATTTATGGAAATGAAAATGTAATGGTTTATGGCATATATTACCATGGCAATGTCAAATCAAGAACCAGTCAGAATTATTAGCTCCTGGAACTACCGGTAACATTTTTACAGTCTATAGTGCTAATTAAAAGTTTTTGTTGAGGTTCAAACACAAGCTCTAAAAATATACAGTACTTGGAAAATCAAAGATGGCGGTCACCTTATTTCCGAAGTGGCTTACAAACATAAGATATTTTACAAACATGAACGACTTTCAAACTGTTTGACACTCTAAGGACTTAATAAAATAACAAAATGTTTATATGCTAGACCTATTGATTAATTGATTTGTCTTCTTTTTTTTCCTATACTAGCATTTTAATTATGTATCATCCATGCTTTGTTTTACAGAACCTTCGTGACATAAACAACATGATTAAATCGGGTGAACGACCAATCGGAAAGCGTGCTCTTTTACAAGATGACAGCAGTGACAGTCCTTCAAAACGTCACTGCGCAGAGAACACGGGCATTAATCTCTTGAGACGCCTCACAGACGTGACTTCTGATAGACAAGCCGCGTCCTCAACCCTATAAGGCGACTTGTACCCGTAGAGCAGGAGGATCAAGGGCTTGTGACATATTTTACTGTACAAGATTTCTCTGTACAAAGTGTGTAAGAAGAAAAGCCTTTATTAAGAAAAGCGCCATTGTTGAACAAACTGATTCTATGGTAGAGCTTTTAGGTGGCTTGCTGTATTTGCAATAAACAGGTTGAAGACTATTTAGTATTAAAATGGCACAGGAAGGGAGGAAGGAGGAGGGGGGGGGGGTCATTATGACATTACAATCCAGTGTTAGTATTATAACATGACTTGGTAGTTAGATTGTCAACATTGATCTACCTAGGTGGTCAGCTTGCAGTCTTACCATTGCTCTAGGGTGCCTTATTGCCATATTGAAGCTGATTTTTCTGATTTGAGCTTGAACTTAATAGATTCAGAGCCAAGTGTAAGAAAGACCAGTAGGGTTAATATATATATATATAGAAGGCATATTGTATTTTTGTAGATTAACAAGGTACAGTTAAAATAAAAGGTATTTTGTTTTGTTTTTTAAATAAATCATGTTAAACACGGTGAGTGTGTAAAAAGTGGTTCATATCACCCGCCTCTATTATGGCCATGGTGTTTATTTCACCGGAATCATGACTGAAATTGGTATGCATTTTGATGATTTGCTGGATATCGGACGTAAGGGTTTTTTTCAAGTGAGTACCCGTTGTAGGGTATACCTGTGGACATTGGATACCCTTTATATCGGGTATATTTGGGTGGACGTCCATTACAAGGTGCATTGAATAGATACATCTAGTATTTTTAAGCACTCTTAATAATCTTTATGCCATCTTATTGTCCCAACATTTTCTCGTCACAAACAACTAGATGCCTTCACATGTACTTTTTGGCACATTTGGGATGGTTTATGTCTTGCAAGTGCCAAATCAAATCTCAATTATTGAACTTCACTGCTTGTATGCATGAAAGTATTGACATTTTTTTTCTCAAGGGTGCTCCTGCTCTAATTGTGTAAAACCGTGTTCCCTTTGATGTGCTAAGCTTGCAATCTAAGCTTGTCTTCGTATCCCATTCGTATGTGTTGGCCAAAGATGAATTCATCTCAGCACCTCCATCTCCAAATTTGACTGTCCCTGTTGTCGTAGAACCAGCTGTATTTGTAATACATCCACTCTCTTAAGGTTGTCCAACGTGACCCAGTTCCAGGGAGCTAGATCAAATGAACGGGATTCTGTAAATTTGATGTTTTCCTATTCTTTTAACGGTGCAATGTTTCATGTATAGTTGTCTTTTTTGTACATTACATATTTTTTTGCTGACTTTGCAAATTTTTATTGAAACCCAAATTGTAAATATTATTACCTACTTTTTAGTCATAATTGATGTAATATTAGATTATTGAGTACTCTATTCTTTCTCCACGTTATTTTTAACACGACTTCATGAGAATGTTGTTAGTATTTTTTTTTTTTTGTGTGTTAAAAAAAATTATGCTTAAGAACATAGATAATAGCAATAAATGCATGAACTTTCACTGAGTTTTAATTTCTCCAAATAAGTGCAATTTTATAAATTTAATCCATGTAAAATTACAATATATTGTAATTGTTTCACTGGAAAATTTGTGTATTTAAAATCCAGTGACCATGCCCAAAATGTCAAACACGGAGAAACTAAAAATCCCAGTGAAAATTAATGCTTCTATAATAGCATCTTATTTTATAATTTTTCTGATTCATCTTAAAATAATTTTTGTTAGAGAACTGAAATACTGCAAAGATGGTTTCACATTTGTAACTAGCGTTTCTCATTGTGAAATGATTTTATGCTTTTGTTTGCTTTGTATTTTACATCAGATTTTAGAGAAAGTTTTATGCTGTTTTACTAACTTTTTTTTTGTAAGCTTCATTTTGTTTCTGTACATGTTGTACAAAAATAAAGGAGAAAATTCTAAAACTGTTTTACTATTCTTGATCGTATGTCACTGGTACTTTACGTCTCGTAATGTGTTAAAGGGCTCATTAACGGGCAGTGGTCGTCGTGCAGCGTGTGTTCGAATTTCATGTGAACAAACAATATATTCTACACGTGTTTATGTTGCTGGCCGTCCCAAATCGAACAGGAATTGGTAGACAACCACTGCTCTTTAACTTTTTGAGCAATATAACTCGCATCATTTTTTTAAGCCAATGGGAGATCGTTTCCTCTAAAAACTTTATCAAACTTAGAATGTGTAAATTGTGATGTTGTGAATTGCATTTCCCCACTGTTTATGATCTGTAGAAAACCTATCACAGATACCTGTAAGAGTCGAGGGATTTATTACAGTTCATGAGAAATCTTCACTAACAGAATCCTGAAATAGTGTATAGAGGGCGCTCTACTGTTAATGGTCTTGAATAACAATGTACATTTGATTTCTGTCCAGTCATCAAATAATTTGTACCGGTAGCTAAACTAACTGAATTTGTAATGTTTTATGGGAAACTCAATTGTCTATTATTCTGTGTATGTATCGGTAATATGATCCTTTAACCATGTCTCTTGGTAAGATTACTGGAGAGCCCCATCATGTTCTCTGCCACATACAGTACATAAGTTTGTGAATTGTATAAAAAAAAAAACATTTTTATAAGACTATTGTTGAGCGACAACCTAAGATTGGGTTAAATTTTAGCCCGTTCTTGGTGTAGCCTGAACGCGACTTATTTCTTCGTAGACTTTACAAAACAACTATTTGTCATGTGTCTGCTCTAAATAGCATAGAAAGCAATACGAATCATAAACGTATCGCCTTCACCTCTGTTTCTTACCATGAAGCCAAAAAAATAAAATGTTTTAACTCCATGTTCTATTTTATTCAGTAAAATATCAGAAACTTACATTGGATCTTTAGTTTAATATAAATCTACTTACATTCAAAACAAATAATCCGGAAAAAAACATAAAAGTTGCTGCTACAATTATTCATTTCAGACGTTTTGTTTTGCTGGTTGAGCCAGCGGCTGTTTCATCTCAATTATGAGCAGAACACTGCCACAGTCAGTAACGCCACATAATTCTATTTTTAAATAAGTTAAAAATAAAAACAATATGAAATGTGTTGACTAACTCTTAAGGGCGCAGTTCGTAACAATCTGACCTCAAAGGGTGGACTAATGCTCAAGTAATGTTGCGAGGACGAACGAATGGAGGGGTAATAATTTGTTTAGAACTTGTAAATAAACAGTGTCCGCATGTCGATCACTTTTTAATGGGGTATTTTCGTAAGCTGTAATCTATTGTTTTTATTTTCGTAATAATGCAATTTAAATAAATAAACAAAAATATTATTTTTTTTAAGCGTACAAAGCATTTTAATTCGTACACAATTTCCAATTTTATTCTTAAACTAAAATTATCAAAAATATAAAAATGTAATTAGGAATTTGCTTTATCTGTAAAGTGTAAAAACCTATTTTTTACAGTAAATGGAATTTTCCTGTAAAAACGTAAAATGCAGTTTTTATTTCCTGTAACCTGAACCAGCTATCCCTCCTTGCCCTCTATTTACCGGTAATAGTCAAGTTTTAGTTTATGGTACTTTTTAACCAACTGATTTTGACTTCCACTAATCTGTTCTACCTGTGGTGACTTTTAACCATACCTGGATACTACTACTTAAACTACTTCCTACACACTGTGATGCCAACAGTGCATTATCAATGATTATATTTTGCTCATTCTGCAAAGTTGACTTCTCTCCATTATTAAATCGTTTTGTTTGTGGTGCAAATTACAAGTGTAATAGATTCGCCAACTGTTATTCAAGAAAGATCAAATATATATCAATTGAATACTACCCAAACTCTATATCTTCTTTCAATCACTAATTTTGAAATTATTCCTGGTCCCGACTTAAATAATAATGCATACTTTATCAACGATGCTCATATTGACTCAACATTGGTTGGTTCTCTCTCAATACCTGAATCCTCAAATGGTCACAACATACTCTATACCTGTATGTGTACAGTCATTGAATTCATCAACTGTGATCCAGAAAAAAATATGTCTTCGGGATTGGTTCAGATAAATTTGTCATCGTTTTGGACTCCATGTTCATCGGCTTGAATTTTCGAAACATCGCAAAACTAATAAAATTATGTATTCGATGCAAAGTCTAAATTCTATAAATTAATCAATGAAAGTCTAGGTAATACGCACATTTGAATAAATGTCAATGAACTCATAACCGTCTATGCAATACCAAATGTTATTTAAACAGACCTTGTGTATTTAATACAGAAAACATATTTTTTTTTTCATTTTTATTACATAAACAGTACACTGTTCAACAAAATATGTTGTCATGGTAACTACATTGGGTCAGATAAAAAAAAAAACAGTAACTGGAATATAAACAAAATAACATATACACTAAACACCAGTAGTATATACGTCATTTAGCTAAACACATATTTGATGCCCTCTGAGCCTATTTATACGAGACGTCGCTGACTCGCAGAGATTAGGTGTGACATAACTAGCTATGCGTATTCTCAGACACGTCGTTGATGCAACAGAAAATCGTATATAGTGATCTTTAAAAATATCTTACTATATTTTCCGGATTTGTAATTTGGTGATTCAAACGAAATTCAATTCAGTAAACACTTTATACACAAAATAAGCATACACGGAAAGATCACGATGCCATAACATTTTCGTTTGTGCTCAAGACACATATAAATTTACTTCTAATTGTATATTTCATTGAAATTTTTTTTCCAAAGCAGTCAAAAAGCAGACTCAAATTAAATTTGGAGAATTCAATTTTAAAAATCATTCTTGTTATAAACTGAAGCACACTGATAATGACCAACATTTTGCTAAAAGAAAATTTGAAATGAAAGATGCTTTCAAAGCGTGTACTGTGATTGGTAATGAATAGTCTGCAAAATATAGATTCAAATACAAGTGTATGCAAACTTTCTAACACATGCAATGATTTTATATTTTTAGAGACTATCTTCACCATCCTATACAATCATCCTAAATAATCACACCAGCCAAATACAAAATTATATCTAACTGTCCATCAAATTAAAAAAATAGCTACATCAACACATGAAGTTGTCAATTAATATAATTACAGTTACATTACTTATATTAAACTCGCTCAAGAAATCAACCACCACATGCCTGCCCACTGGTTAAAAAACATAACCACTGGTTCAGACCTACATAGAAAAAAATTACTTACAGTCAAACCTGTGTAGCGTTCACCCAAAGAATTGTCCTCATATGGAAGTTGGATTATTTTTTTTATGAATTGCCATCTCGTACATTTGATATAATATTTGCTTAATGGTTTGGTCATGTTTATTTGAGTACGGTATGCCTACTCTTTTGTCACCATGGTAACAATGGGCTGTGTAAAATGTCGCCACATAAGTAATACTACCCGTGCTATCAATAAGACGATAGCCACGCCCAAGGTGGAAGCAAGCGCGGTAGTAACATTAGTAACGTGCCAATTTTTGGAGATACTACCGATTAGAAAGACAATAACGACAAAATATGGAGTGATTGTGTAGCGCAAGTATTTCTCTAACACCGTATATTGCTCTATCACGAACCACGCAGTTACTTCAATTGATACTATCGTCAAGGCAACGATGGTCACTGTGGATTGGTCCACATCTGCAACGTATCTTAACACTATGCTCAGGTTTAGAATGGTTGCCAGGGAGCTCCATGCAGCGTACATGGCCAAACCGTTATGGACAAGTACCCGAATTGCCCAGACGTCAATATTAGATAATTCGTGGAGATTTCGGTACAAATTGAAATGACTAATAAATATACAAACATACAAGGTAAAGGCAATTAAAGCCAAACAAAACAAAGACACTAGTAGATATTCCCTGTCAAACAAAATCAACCACCCAATATTCAGTCCCAGGTTCAAAGAAAACGTAGCGTAAAACAGGGGAGTCAACACTCGAGGGCGCACGTATACGTAGTCTGTTCCATTCTTGCGAAAGATTGTTGTGAGGGCGTAGATCAGCCACAATATGTTCCATGTGTAAATCACACCCCAGATTGAGAACGTCCAGCCAGCTGGAGTGATTTCTGTGTAATATTTATCAGATAAGTTACTCACGCTGTGAAGAAATAGTCCTGTGAAAAAAAACAAGTGTATACATTATTATAATAACCGCCACGGTTGTCACATTATAATTTCAATGCATTCTATACATTATATTGTATAACGTCGCATGGGACTCCATCAAACACAAAGTGTCGCGATGGCAACCATATTTTCATCTGTTATTGAATATAACAATATTACGGATAAACGTGTAAAAATGAGATGAAAATAGAATTAATAGAATTGTTAATAACTGCACTCATTTTTTTGTTTTCTGTAACGCACATCGAGTGTAGAAATATTATTGAGTTACGTCTGTCAAGTTAAGATATCACACAGAAAAAAACTAACATTATAACAACTTACCACCAGATTGCTCAGGCCGGCCGCCCAATGCATTGATGATTATGACGGCTATGAACATTACCACAGCAAGGAGTAAGGTCAAGAGTGTAGGGAGGTGGTGTACAGCCATCTTGTTTTACTGAAATAACAAATTAACGGTGAGATTCTGAATATACATCACCTACATTATACGCTCATTGACCGAGCTAGCGTAAAGCCATCTTTGCCAGCCAAGGACCATTTATTCGGCCGAAGCCTCAACATTGGGCCGGCTTTAGCGAAACTGTGCACGCGCAGAAATTGAGTCCAAACGACAATAACATGAATGACAACACACGCTAAAAACGCAAAGGCTCATGGGAGGACGCTTGTTTGTAAACAAATGACACGTTATGGCCATCCATGGAGCTAAAAAAAGATGAGCCATCCATGGAGGTAATAAGAATTTTTTTTTTCCATGGGCCATTACCTTGGACTATTGTTTACACATAACACCGTCACCACAGTAGCTATATTTTTATCTCTTATGTATTGTATGTATTTATGTTCCTTACCATACAAAAACCCTCTGAAGGTTTTTTAGTAGTGTAATAAAGTTATTATTATTATATACACCACCAAGAAACAGAGCTGTGTTTTTTTTCTGACATATCTTTGTGAATTATTTTTTTTCTGTCGCCATAAGTTGAATTTGTACTGTTTGGGAAAAATTTGCTACGCAACCTACGAGACGATGGGATAACAATATTGAATTTATAATAATTGGTATAATGATTAATTGCGCAAAAAATGAATGAAAATGTATTCAGCCAGCGGGAAGGTTGTGTGCAAATGAGATTTTATCGTGAATTTGAAGACCGTGTATCGCTAGTTTATGAAATGTTGAATTTTCAAACCACGCTCGTAGTAAAACTAAACATCGTAGCACGCTGAAAATTTGCGAATTGTGCAACAATTTCGTCTCAAATAGATTGCTTTGATAAATTGTGCGATGGTACGAGGTGGCTCGACATTTGAAAGGGGTCTATTTCCAGGACAATGAAAAAAAAATGGAGGTCGCCTTTGAATGGCCTATATCCAATCACTGTTATGTAACAGCAACAGTAACCATGGCACCCTTTGTTTGTTGCAGTAGTCTGTTAGTTAGCACATTGATCCAGGCATAGAAGTAGAAAATATCTCTTCTCTACCCTCATGATCCAGGGCAGCAATTCAGACAAAGCGGACGAATGTTCAATTTGTTTGACCATTTTGGCTATTCGAACGTCGCATTCGAGCTTGACTATCTCAAAAACCCAGACACATTCGCCTCTCTATTTTGAGTGCATAGTTTATGAAAGATTGAAAAACGGGTGCTAACGTGATATTTGAAGGATTTAGAATGAGATAGTCACCGTCTTTATTCAAAGTCGAGAAACAGTGTAATGAACAGTACATACAGAGCGTTGATGTTCACATTGATCTGGTTATGATTGAGGGAAATTGACCATCTACTAGAGCAAACCAAAAACACTAGAAAATATAATTTTAGTGTCTTTGAGCAAACAAGAAAAGGCTTGGTTACCATTGCTGTTACGTAACACTGATCGTTAGAAAACTATTCACTGGCGATCTTTACATTTTTCTTTGCGCTGGGAATTGACTAGGTTTTCAATTATTTTTGTACAAGTCATCTTTCGAAATTTGCCATACAATATTGCTTTAATATTCATAATTTGTAATTGATACAAAAGGACCGTTTTTTCGACCTGGTAAAAGTGAAATATGCAGCTTTACTGGATTTCTCATCTAAATGTTAACTGTAGAGAGGGAGCAAGGGGGTAGCTGGTACAGTTTTACGGGAAATAAAAAGGGCTTTTTACAATTTACAAGGAAAAGAAGACGTTTTTACAGTTTACAGTGAAAATTGATTTTTGCAGTGAATTGTGTCATCTAGTCGTTTTACAGTTTCGAAAATGTAATTTCCCTGGATTATTCTTTACGACTTTTTTTTATTTGGATGTGAATTCTTGTACGTACGAGAAAAATGACACATTTTTACAGTGTACGAACAAATATTTGATTGATTACGTTGTACGTCTAGCCTGTGATTACAGAATTACGGAATTTATTTTTTCAATTTATGTTGTACGAACAAAAAAATATTGCAATTACGTTGAACGAAAATAACCCTTGCCCCCCCCCCTCCACTGTACGCCGAATAGTTACATTTTTGATCGCATTTGTCCTAAGTTTATTATCTACAATCTGTCAAGCATCATGACTGAAAGTCTGCAGTGATGTATCCTCATGTCAATACAATACAACAATAATATCGAATCATAATCTTAAGGGAACATACCTGTCGTTTGTCAGTCGATAACAGTAAGTTACACACAACTTACTAGGATGTCAGGACACATATGATCCACTGGACTGGGTACCGTGTCTTGTCGCGAGACCTTGGACGCACAGAGAAAGGCACTCTGAATGGTTAGATTCCAGGCTAATAATCGGGGTGTCAACGACCTAAATGTTATCATGTATCATAACCTTGAGATCTATGAACCAATCAAGTCCGTGATGGGGCACATGCGCATGGAACAACATTTTAGCACGACAGCTTTCAAGAGATGGGAGATAAAGTTTGTTTGTGATGTGACAACAATACCCCTGAACAATACCGTCCACTTTGCATAATCACGAGTTATAATTAGTTACGTCACTATGCGTTATCAAGTGGGCAGTTGAAAACTTGACATGGTTATGGAGTTATAACAGTACCAAAACAGCGACCGATCTCATGTTTTTATGTCGATGTTGCAAATAACTAAAGTTTTTAAGTAAAATAAATGTGCTGAAACCCGAAATAATCGGCCTCGAGTGAGAATTCACAATTGTCTCGTTTTCTCAGTGTTTGTTTCCAGAGCTCATCGATGTGAACGACCGAAAATGACGTCGTTCCGGCCATCGCCACTAAGTTGTAGTTTGGACGCATGGATTCTATAAGACGTAAGATTCATTTTCGTATTTTAATTTTGACTGAACCATTCGACACTTTTTCACTGTTGTTGCGCAAAAACGGACTTCGTACTTATAAAATCGCAAAATGTTGGAATATATATCGTTTGTTCGGGAAAAATAGAACAGAGGGAAAAATTAGAAATACAGAATATAATTTCATTACCTTTCCACGATAACGTGACTTTCGGGGTCACTGGCATCATAGCAGAGCCACCATTTTCAATGTTATCCATGTTACAAATTTACCAGTCTTATTGATTTTGGAGGCCATGTTGCCATAGAGCAAACACATATTGAAAAAAAAAATAATATTAATCGAAACTTTAAACCAGGGTCTACCTAAATATATGTATTATAGGATTGGTGGTTTCACGTACGCCCTTCTTTCAAATATGTAGGTCAGCATTCCCCTTGCCAATCAACTATCTCGCTTCGGGTGTGCCATTTATTAGTACATGGAGTTCATCTTATTTTGGCTCGCCGAAAATAACAAACTAAAGTAAGAAAAAAAATGTACAAAAATTCAATATAAGTCGACAGTTATTAATTACTTAAGCCTAAACAAAAGTGATTTTCATATTCACACACAGTTGCGTTCTTCAAGTTCAACGTGACCTTGTGCTGTAAATGACATGTCCTATTCAAATTTTGCTCGATACAAGTATTTACGGAATATTAGCCATGACTCGGTTTATAGTGAAGTATCAAAAAGAAAGGGAGTGTTGAAAAGGTCACATGACGACGAGTGATCAGTGCGAGTAGCGCTAGTGCAAAATGGTACCGTAGATTTAGTGCTGAAATGGCTCTCGTTCTGTTGACAAAATAATGCGATCATGGTCATCGTTACCGCATTTTCACTGCCAAGAATGTCGTACTATTGCACCACTCTGTAATTATTGCCTGATAAACGGCGCATTACAATAAATATTTACGTAAAATAGTACATTTGTTCATTTGTGTGTTATTTTTATTTACCTCTATGTTACTCGTCAACATTCGTAAATACGGGAGATCAGAATAAGATGAAGGCAAGATTTCGAAAACGCAGCAAAATCTAATGCTAAATTGGAACTGGGCAGAACTTGATATACACAATATGCGAAGGTTGTTATGCTAAGTATGCTCAATCACATACACAGAATCGATAGCGTGGGCGCTGATATCTACTATCCTTTTTTGAGGGGTGAATGTACCTTACATATGTAGTACCTACAGTATAGTATCATTAGACAATTTTTAAAGAGAGATAAAAAGAATTTGTCAATTTGAGAACAATGGAATACTTGAATGCGGGTTTATCGACAATTAAGTCTATTGTCAACGATCGTTTCTTGAGCTGTAAGAGTTTTATTTTATTTGTCAATGTTGGGTGGGGCGAGTGAGAATATGTCATAGTTTGGAGCAACGTCCTGTATTTTGCGTGCTGAGCAGTCACGAAATTGAGTATTACTTTTACGGTGTCATCTCCAAAGACCTTTCGGCTTTGATCACGTCATTTATGTGGCGTCAACGGAACCAATGTGTAACAATGCACAATATCACATGAGGATCACGACAGCTTTACAGTAAAAACCCAATTTAACAATATACAGTGTACCCCAACATGTATGTCGCAATGACGACAATAGATTGCTTGTTATGTATGGGGTTTGTAATCGTACTACTACATGAAGTCATCAAATATGTGCACAAATTGGACATTTACTATGCTGTTTTACTTGGAACTACACTGAGGTCAATGTGGTCACCCACATCAACTTGTATTAATCTACCATCCTTTGGAAGTGCACTGAAGTTATTGTTTGATTTTTCGCTCTCTAAGCCTAAAATAAGTATGAACTTGTTTTGAAATCTCTTTAATTATGTGATCGTTTTTATTATTTAAGACGTTTATTAATGTCTCTCCGTGCATTTTATGTTTAGTAAAAAGGCTGGTTCTTTCTTTATCATATAGCTGGCACGTGAAAAGGAAATGTTTCTCATCTTCAATTTATCCAAGATCACGAACAGGGCATTTTCTATCAGATATGGTTATGTTTTTGTATCGTATTAGGAAACGCGAATTCCAAATAGGGAATGATTACGCGCGTAAGCGTCCTCTAATATTAAAAACAAACATGGCTGCGCCAGGGTTTGACCGGACCCTGCAAAAGTTCGCTGATTCTGTTCTAAACTTTTTGGATTTCGGCATTCTCATGATGTATTGTTTGAAGGTAAAGATGTATAATAATACGGTTATTACGAGAATACTGCGAAGTATGCACTCGGGCAGTATGCGACACTACCGTCGTACTGCTTTCGTTCATACTTTGCAATTTTCTCGTAATAACTTCACAGTCGTGTTCAGGCTACACCAATCACGGGCTAAGATTTAAGCTAATCTCATATTATTCTGAAACAGACTCGGAGCTTGTGTATTTCATACAGAAATACCAAAAGGAAATGGTCAACTAAAATTAAGTAAGATGGCATGGCAACTGACTCATTTTAGTTCGTGAAAATACACAATACAATGCAATATCTCGTCACGGTCTTAATCACCTTCGAACTTTAATTAATATGTTAGATCGAAAAAGACGGAGACTGGAATATAATATATACACTAAACACTAAGTATTTTACGTAAAAAACAAATTTGACAATGACCATTATTATACATCTGTCACCGTAACGCCATAAGTTACAGCATGCCGTAATTTTGCGGTATTTTACGGGGTATTTTCATACTACCATATTTGGAAATGCGAATTCCAAATATGGAATGATTACGCGCGTAAGCGTCCTCTAACTTGTGACCTGGATTTGACCGGACTCCATACAAGAAAGTTCGCTGATTCTGTTCTAAACTTATTGGATTTCGGCATTTCCATGATGTATCCGTGAAGGGAAAAAATGCATAATAATAAGGTTATTACGAAGATACCTCAAAGTATGCACTCAGACAGTACGCTGCGCGTCGGTCGATACTGCCGCTGTACTGTCTTTGTGCATACTTTGAGGTATCTTCGTAATAACCTCATATTATCAGACTTAGTAGTCACAAACTCTCTTGAGGATGGAATCCACTTCCTAGCCTCTTGTGTCATTTACAGAGAAGAAAGTGAGAAATTATATTTTGAATTCAGCAATAAACTTCCTAATTTTAATAGTAATGATAGCATATTTGTTACCATCATTAATACTACTTCAATTGATTCACTCAGACATGTTATTACATTTCTGAAACTCTCACTTGCCAAACGCAGCAGCTTGTTATATTTAACTTTTTATTTTAGTTATGTTCTTAACTTTTTTTCTCTTTTATTTAGTTGTTTTCAAGTATTCTTCTATTACTTTGGGTTCCTTAGATGAACTGAACATTGTTTTTTCATTACGATTTAATAAAGATTATTATTATAATTAATATAACCACAAAGTAAACAAGTTGATTATTAAGCTAACAACTTCAGTAGGATTAAATTCAATAACACAGGCTATTCTGACCTTGAAAGTCTGAAACCATCACAGAGAAGCATAGTGGTATATCAGGGAGATATCACAGTTGCTATGCTAAATCAAGAGGATGGATAGGTAGTCATAAATCAAAAAAGATACCATAGCTGAAAAGTGTCAGGTCACAGGATTTATCAGTGTTAATTAGATGCTAATTAGGTCTAAAGGTGTTTTACATTGTGAGTTTTATGGTTCAGTAGTTGTCACACCTGACAAGCATTGCTGATAAAAAAGATGAGAAAAGTTTGTAAACATGGGAACAAACGGAAGCGGTTTACTTTTTGTGCTCATGAATAATCTCTTTAGCTTTGGCACACTGGTTTATGAATCTTTAGTCCATTTTAAAGACAAGATCAGCATTTTTATTACATGCACACAAGTTTCAATCTGTAAAACAGATGACTGCCAAATACCGAGTATGGCATCTATATGCTCTGACAACGTTTCAGAATTAAAGAGTTCATGAATTTTACAACGGTTCCAGTTAAATGTTTATTGCTACAACATTGTCCTTGATTTTCAAAAAGTATGCATATTTAAAGCACTTAAAATCATCCTTTATTTCAAAACTTGTGCAAATGCATAAATACTTTGCTTGATACATAACTTGTGTTTAACCACCAATGTCAATTAATGTCAAATTGAGAGAAATCATCATAGTAAAAAAAATAATAATAATAATGTTGATAAAAAACAATGATAATTTACACTAGAAA